TTTAAATTCTGTCATTATTTACACACTCTCATGTTGTCCCAAACCTGTATTCTCTTCTTGTGCTGAACAAAAAAATAAGATATTTTGAAGAATGTGGGTAACCAAACAGTTGCTGGTCCCCATTGACTTTGATAGTAGGAGAACAACTGGGGCGCCAGCAACTGTTTGGTTACCCACATTCTTCAAAATAACTTTTATGTTCAACAGAAGAAAGAAACTCATTCAGGTTTAAAACAACTTGAGAGTTAGTAAATAATGACAGAATTTTCATTTTTGGGTGAACTATCACTTTAATGTTAATAAAACAACAAAACACAGAGAAAAATCACTCACTGCTCTTGAATGAAGAACTCTAATACAGTTGCTTTAATAAGAATCAATTATTTATACAGTGAAGTGTATATAGTGTTTTATTTATTTGTTCATTCAGTTTCTTGAATGCTACTGCTAAATAACCTACTGTACCTGAAAAATAAAGCACTGTTTGTTTTATTTGTATATTATGTGTATTTGTAATGTGTATCTTATTTTTTAATAACAATGATAAAATAATGACACAGATTTTTATCTTCACCCACTTTGGCCTAAATATCTGCCTTTTTTTTTAATTTATATTTTGTTACTTTGTAAGTAGTGCTGGGCGGTATACCAGTTCATACCGAATACTGGTGTTTATTTTTATGATATGAATTTTTAAAATACTGCAATACCGGTCGGTGTGTCACTTAAACGTTTGGAACGTGACACTGTTTGAAACGGGTCTCTTTTCACTGTTGCACTGTGGTGAGGGCACAGCTGTATGTGTTACTAAGCGTGAAAGTTCTGAAACTGAAGCTGTAGAACTAATAGAACGTGACGACACCGAAGAACTCATCCACAATATCCACACTGACCGCCACAAATATCCACCGCCCCCTGCCATCAGCTCCCGCGTCTCTCACACCCGAGCACGACTTTAGCACTAGATTTAGCAACTTTCAGACCCTTTTAGTGGCTTTTTCTGATAGAATATTCATACTGACAAACCTAGCGACTTTTTTGGATAAACCTTAGCTATGGTTCATTTGGAAGATTTCGCCAGTGCTGTCCCGCAAACGCGAGGTCTGACTTTCCCGGAGAAGTGTCGCCTCTCTCGGCGTCTGTTCTGTGCAGTGAGCGGCAGAGAAGCAGCGCTTTCAGTTAGACGCACCGCAGCCGACTCGTCAATAAAGGAGTGCAAAACAGCGTTTCCTAGCACCTGCCGCTTACTGATTGTTTGGAATTATAAATATGAGCATAGTTCGTCTGTTAATATCGCATTAACTTTTTTGGTTTGTTGTTTTTTTTGTTTGTTACTCAGACGCAGGCAGTGCGCTGCATGAGACAAAAGAGTAATCTAGCCAAAACAACCGCATAGCCGCTCTTTAGTGTAGATGCATGTTGATTTTATCAGACAATGTCGCGATTATAAATGAGAGTGACTCCTGGTTAACATGTATTAAAAGGGGTCGTGTTTAGTCACTATTTAGTGTGGTATTTTTTGACAATATTCAGTCATGACAGTAAAATAGGGCATTCTAAGTCAGTATACTGCAGTATTTCCTCTCTCAATCAGTAGAAAATATGGTTAACACCCGGTCATGCATGAAAAAAAAATACCGTCATGTATTTTTGTATCATGTACCGTCATGTGAAACCGGTATAATTTTGAAAAATACCGTGATATCAATTTTTGGTCATACCGCCCAGCACTACTTGTAAGGCTTTGTTTTTAAAATAGAGAAATGAGATTGGCTGTCCTGCTCAGACAACTTAAACATAGTAAAACCTGCCTGACAAAGAAGTGTGATAAAACCGTGAATCGTGATTTTCCTGTAAAAAATCGCGATATGATATTTTTGCCATATCGCCCACCCCTACTTTGACAATTTAATTTACATTGCTTAATGCAAAGGGCTTTTCTGAAAGAACCAAAGCAGAAATGAGAGCGTTATGATGGTGTGTTTGAGAGATGATAGCGTTGAAGTGTTTTTAAAAGTTTCTCCCAGAAGCTCACAGGTAGCTGAGGCTCTTACCATGGGGCGTAAACTTGTGTGCCGAGAGCGCAGACATGCCACTTATTACAGCCTTAAATCTGTAAGAGACGAGCTGAAGGTTCTCATCCTCACACACTTACCGCACAGAGTCAGTCAGTGCTACCCTTCAAATTTATGCATTTGACCGCCTGTAAAATTACAGCCTGTTTCCCACACGGACACTGATGTAGCTTGACCGAGCCAGTGAATTAAAGGGGGTCAGAGATCATCGTAATGTAAGGGGTAGACCAGCGACGCCTGACTGAAATACTCCCGAGAGGCTCTGTTTAAGAGCAGCTGACGCAAAAGGTGTTAGGAAATGAACCCGCGGCTCTTTGTCATTAACAAGCCATTAGTGTTAATATTGTTTAGTTTGATGTTTTTGGCTACATGAAGTGCATGTCGATCAGGGGGGGTTGGTAGAGGCTGATGTTTCCTTTAACAGATTTTTATTTTATTTTAGTGTTCGAAATTGAATACTAGTGTACTTCACACTGTACAGTATATATTGTATACTGCCTACTATAAAAAAAAAAAAGTTTTTTATAAACTTTAAAAAAAAAAAAAGATATTGCAATAATAGATTTTACAGCCAAAGTGGGTTGTGATGTATTGGTAAAAGATCTGGGCTGGTAACCGAAAGATTGTAGCTTTGAACCACACAAACGGTGTTGTTTTAGTATCATTGAGATACTGTTTTAAATTAAGTTTTTATTTTTATATTTGCAATTTTCATTAAAATGTGTTAAGGTTTTAGTCATTTTGTTGCTTGTTATTGTACCTAAATTAAAATGAGAAATGTTAAATAACTTTTACGATCTTAGTTTAAGTTTAAGGTCTTGTATTGTTTATTTTATTCCAGTTATTGTTTATTTAGCTTCAAGTAACAATTTTTTAAATGGTTTTAGTTAAAGCTGCAGTCCGTTACTGTTTTTGGTTAAAAATGATCCGAAATCAATATTTGAGCAAGTACACAACCAGCCAGTGTTCAAAACTATCGGCTTACTTTAGTCCAATTCACAACGGTTAGCTTATAATAATGTTTTCTGATTTGAGTGGTACGGGTAGGTTTTCGTGGGAAATTCGAGCGTGCCGCTGCGTCATTACGTCACGTCTGTAACCATAGAGAAGTTTTCCCGGCTACTAGGCTAACGCATGTGAGGATCCTGCAGGTGGCGGATCGTTTATAGCCTTTTCTCACAGCAGCCAGAATAATTAAGTGTATCATTTTGATGGCAGATTGTAATCCAGAAAGGACTACGTGTTTATGTGAATGAAATTAAATTATATTCCAGTTTTAAACGTGCTTCTGATTACAGATAGCCTGGGATTACACAAGATTTGTATTTTAAAGACAACCAGTTTGAAGGGGGCATAGTTTGCTTTTTGGGTTAAAAGAATTTCTTAATATGAAATTCGAATGGTATGACAATTAGAGATTAGAATGTACAAAAAATGAAATCTACACGCTAATGCACACTATACTAGTGTTGTCACGGTACCAAAATTTCAATATTCGGTACTAATACCAGTGAAAATCCACGGTTCTCGGTACCAATTTCGGTACTAAAGCAAAACACAAAAACATGCTAATTAAAAAATGTGACTACTTTCATTTAATCCAAGCTGTGTACATATTTAATTTTAAAGGGCTTTTAAAACCTTATAGAGTTATTCATATAGAATGAATAACCTTATAGAGCTTTTCTGACTGATATGACACAAACAATGTTAACCATTTGTACATTCTCTAACACGCATATTTTAGATTCACAATTCATTTAAAAGCCTCTGGTGTGTAAAAATAGTAAATGTCATCATATCCTCCTTTTTTTTCCAAACAAAAGTTATAGGAGCATTAAATAGTTAAAGAAACTTCATTCTAATGCTCATTATATTAGTGTTAGCCGTGCTTATGCTAACGATTAACTACTATAATAACAGTGATGTTCATTTCAATCTGACATTCAAATTAAATTATTGAATAATATTCATAACGGAAGCGGTGTTTCCCACAGATTTGTTCTCTATTTGTGGCAGCATATAAATGCAAATTAATTCTCTGCCCGCAGGAGGCGCTTGTAGAGCATGAGAGATCAGATAACGGCTGTAATCAAATAAGCGCTGAGCTCACAAACGCTGCTTTATCAGGCATTACAGGCAAGATGAAATTAAAATGGCATCCATTATTTTCTGAAGACATTATTTTCCTTCAGAAGTACAGTGATATAAAAACACTCGCACCGGGTTTCGACTTTGACACGTGCAGTGCTCATGTTTATTCAACGAAGACAAAGCCTTTTGAAAAAACTATTTATGGCGGTCAGTTTTGATATTGTGGCGGGCGCCACAAATAAATCAATGCATGGAAATGAAACTTACCTGCTTGAACTCTTTCATTTGATCCGGGTGTCTGTCTTTTAAAGTGTTTTGTTAGTTTGGTGTGTTTCCTCATTTTGAGGTCACCACGTCTCAGTGCTTTTATGAAGAGAGCGCACCTGCGCACCTTTCGGATAAAGCATCAAGAACCGTGTTGACCGGGTACTCGGTACCACCGGTACTTAAAAGAACCTGGTACTGTAACGTTTTCATTTTTTTAGTACCGACTTGGTACCGAAGTACCGGGTCTTTTGACAACACTACACTATGCTCATAGTCATGCAGTGCTGATGTTGTTAACATTAACAATTTGAGAATAAAGTATAACAATAATTAATTTGCACGGTTTGATGTGATATGAGCTAACCGATCGTTAGATTTAATCACCATTGGTAGCAAGATTTATTGTAATGCTTTTTTCCTCAGTTGGTCAGAACAAATGTGGCAGACTTGTTACTTGTTCAGATGGCAATATCCGGTGAAAATGCTTATTTGAGTCATAAATTCCAAGACGTAGGCTAGAATCTGTGATTGCGAAGTACAGTAAAATCCACACCGGTGCGGTGACTGACTGCCACACATACTCTTCAGAACATTAGATTCATCTGCGCTGGAGCCGTGCCAGAGTACAACCCACGCAAAGAAGATCATTCCACACACAGCTGCAATTGCAGGTTTTCAAACAGAGATGGCGACAAAGAGGCAAAACTTACAGACTGCAGTTTTATTTAGTTAACTATAAATACCCTGTTGTGACTTTGATCTAGATATTTGATCTAATTTTATTTGATAGGAACTGTGCCAGTAAATGTTACCAGTGTTATTTTGTATTATTTATATACTGTTATGTAATTTAATATTTAATTTTATATAATTAATTTAATATTTTGAATTAGCTTTTATTTTTATATTTTCATCTTAATTTTATTTTAGGTTTTAATAATTTAGTTTTGTCCTTTTGTCATTTTTATTATTTTTTTTAAATATTTTTGTGTAGCTTTTTTTTCAGATTTAGTCATTTTAGAACTTCAACTAAACTTATTTTATTTAGATGCCATGGCAACATTTCATGATGCCATGGCAACATCTAATTTTTATTATTTCAGCTTTATTTCAAATAGCAAAAACAATTTTTTTATAGTTTTAGTTAATAACAACAACACTTATTACTACTAGAACATCTGCTCAAATGATCACCTATACTTGAAATTATATAAGCAGGACTGTTTATTTAGGCAGGATGGGTCGGCCTCCTCTAATGTTAATGGTTTTCGCAGGAACCCTCACTCAGAATGAGATGGTGTTCAGACGACTCCATCTTGGAACGGTGGCGTACGGCATGGACTCGATGGATGAAGTGCAGAGTCACGTGTTCAGCGCTTACACTCAGGTATTCCCAGGATTCCCTGCATGGCAAACGGAGCACGGTTGTGTCCCAATTGATGTACAGCCACTTTTTGGGCAAAGTTTCAAAGTGAATGTAATTTCATTTTTTAAGGTACAATGATGCAGCATGCACCAACCATCTTCCAAAACTTGTAAAGAAAAGTACTTGTCTACAGAAGAAAATCTTTAAGGACTCCAATCATTTTCCCGTCAAAAGAAAAATAAATATAATTAAAAAATTTAAAATAAATATTGCAATAGTACTATTTCTCATTTTGGGTTTTATTTAAAACATTGTTATATATATATATATATATATATATATATATATATATATATATATATATATATATATATATATATAAGTGTGATCTTACCGCACTATTTCATCTCTGTCTGATCTGAAGCGGGCAGAATGCTGAGCTAACGATCCGTAGCTTCGCGTCCAGGGCCGCATTAAGACCGCACTGGGCCCTGGGGCTATGACTTACTGCAGGGCCCCCCATCACAATAATTATATATATATATATATATATGGTACAATTTATGCTTACAAAGTTTTTGCTCTAATGTCAAATTTATCATAAATATAGTATCTTATGCTTTGGTTTATGTCCATAAACTTAAAAAAAAAAAAAAAAAAACAGTCTTTTTTTTAATAAAGAATAAATTTT